AATATTACGACATGAGTCTTTCAAATCTGATATCCTGTCGTTTCATGCAAGGACCAAAATTCACCATAGTAATTAAAAATTACAAATCGATAAATAGTCTGTCAAAAATGCTATTGCTCACTACATGTAATGCCATTTCATCGACTACTCTTGAAAATTTTTCGATTCAATGGTCTACTCCAAGAGTTAGGACGCATATAGCATTATAGAGCAGACTTTATTTTATCATCCTATAGGTGCAATCTTTCCTTGTTCACTTATTAAGCAATATGAGCATATTTTATCATGGCCACTTTTGAAATTTGATAAAAGTTTCCTCACATCTTCCAGTTTCCACCACTCTCAGTCTACAAATAATTTCAATGTGACCACGATGGGGTAATTCTGGCAGCTCCTCAGTACATCAGAGACTTCTCGATCTGCTTAACTGCTTGCGATGTCTACCCGATGTGGATGTGTCGGACCTTTCCTGCATATAGCAAGAAGTTTTATTCAAAAAAAGTCAGTTTTTGCACACCAGCAAAATCACAGTTGTAGAAGTTTTAGAGAGAAGTATAGTATATCTAAACAATTGTTTTGAGCAAAAGTTTTGTGATGTCTGTAGATAAATTTTAGGGAATACTGCTAGATCGCTTACTGCCAAACAATGACAATGAGGAGGTTGGTGACGATCCGAAAACTGCATGAGAAGTGATGCACTCGTGGAAGATGCCGACACTGGTTATGCTGACATAGATGAGAGAAAGCATTATAAAGTAGAAGATGAAAAGACACTATTGTAAAGTTGCTAATCGTAGAAGTTGTAAGAATCACCTGTATCACCTGTCGTCCCGTTGATCGTAGAGTGACTCGAGCAGGTACCAGCAACTCTAGCATTTTTCCCTATCGCGTGCAAGAGTAGCCCAGTGGGTCCTCTTCGCTCTAGGGATTCGCTGAGCGTCATATCTTTCTTCTGTCGCTTTCGTGAAGAAATCGGACCAACGGGTCAGTGGTCTTCCTTTAGAGCGCTTGACGTCCCGAAGAATCCTGTCGGTAACGGCTCTTGTCCATCGGTTGTCGTTGATGCGCATCACGTGTCCGGCCCACCTTATTTTCGATATCCTGGCGTGTAGGACAGGCGTCCTTTGAACTCTAGTATATGACGTAGGTCGAAATTTGGATTCTTTCCTTATTTGCGAGATACAGGATACTCCTAGCATCGACCTTTCGACTGCGCGTTCGATAACGCCAAGTGATTTTTCATCCTGCTTCACGTCGCGACCAGGTTTCTGCTGCATAGGTTAGGGCAGGAATAATTGTCGGCTCGAAAATTCCTCAGAGAAAATCATACATTCTTCAAGTTTATTGTCAGAGATTTTAAAGCAAAATGGATCTAGAAGAACGTCTGAAGAAGGTCACATAGGGACCCACGGATTAGAATGGAATGAATAGGGTGAGATGATATCTGATTTTATCATGACGACCAAGCCATCATGGTAACTCGTAATTCCAAAGCCTCTTTCTCAGAGATAGAAGTGGGAGTCTCACAATGGAGAGTACCATAACGAAATAGACCACATCTTAGTAAATCGAAGGTTTACCAATGTCGCTGTTGTTCCTAGGTTCTACACGGGATCAGACCATGGCCTCCTTCGCGCAAAGTTCCGTTCTACGCGGAGAGGAGAGAAAGCCGCTAAATTCAAACAACGAAGTCCCAGAACTACCATAAACTGGGATGTATTCAATTCATTAGTCGGCTCTTGGGAAGATACCGTTGTCGACAACATCGACGAAGAATACGATCGACTCGTTGAATATCTTCACGTTAGCGCTATGAAAGCCGAGAGTCCTAAGCTCACGAAGAGACGCTTGTCTCCGCAGACACTCGAGCTGATACGTCAACGTGGAATCGCACGAGCTGCAGGCAACCGAAACCTTACGTCCAAACTTGCGAAACGCTGCAGAGAAGCGATAAAGAAGACCTCAAAGAGAGAAGAGCAGCAGTTATGGCAGAAGCTGCAGAAGCTGGGAAGAGCATTCGCAAAGCCCAGCGAGGTGTCGCCAATTACAAGACCAAGATGATAGCACTCCGATACCCTGACGGGGCACTTACGGCTTCAAGAAGGGCTATGGAGAAAATCATCCACCAATACTACTCGGATCTCTTCTCTAGCCATATCCTCTTACCGTCATATAAATTGAAAGAGGACGAATATGTCGTTCCACCGGTCCTCCCTTCCGAAATCCGACATGCTATATCGTCGGTGAAGAACAGAACAACACCCGGTCCAGACAGGATCAGACCAGAACACCTGAAGAACCTGCCGCCAGTTCTCATCAACACCCTGGCTCGGCTCTTCACTCGCTACCTGTCAGAATGCAAGGTTCCATTCAATGGTAAACCAGCAAGACCGTATTGTTGTTCAAAAAGGGAGACCTTCACGACATAGGCAATTATCGCCCAATCTGCTTGCTGTCCGTTGTCTATAAACTCTTTACTCGAGTCATCCTAAACAGGATTGACAGAACACTGGACGAAGGACAAGCCATGCGAACAAGCAGGGTTCCGAAAAGGATTTAGTACCATAGACCACATCCACACGATTACAAGACTCATTGAAGTTTCACGAGAGTACAAACAACCACTCTGTCTCATTTCATCGATCTGAAGAAAGCCTTGATTCAGTGGAATCAGAAGCGGTTATAGAGGCTCTGGATAACCGGGCGTCCCTACTCGGTACATAATGATCCTTCGTGAGCTTTATAAAGATTTCACGACCAAAATATCTCCATTCTACAACAATATCACCATTGACGTAAGAAGAGGGGTTCGACAAGGCGATACAATTTCGCCAAAACTATTCACTGCCACCCTACAAAACGTCATGCGAACATTGGAATGGACGATATGGGAGTGAAAATTGACGGTCGACAATTAAACCATCTTCGCTTTGCTGACGATATCGTTCTCATAACACCAAACATCAGCCAAGCGGAACGAATGTTGACCGATTTCGATAACGCCTGTGGAAAGATTGGTCTTCAACTAAATCTAACGAAAAACGATGTTCATGAGGAACGGATGGGTTTTGAATGCCCATTCACGCTCAACGGAACGACAATCTCCGAATGCTCCAGTTACGTCTATCTAGGTCGTGAAATCAACATGATGAACGACCTAGCTCCAGAGTTGAGCAGGAGGAAAACGAGCGGCTTGGGGAACGTTTAAGAGCATCGAAGATGTAGTGAAGAGGATAAAGAACATCCGACTTCGTGTAGAATAGTAGTGCCTAAATATGAAATTCTAGGTAGAAGGTCTTGATTTTCAGAAAATGTAAAGACAGGTTGTGCACTTCTTCCAAGGACCTTTTCCTACGTATTCTTCATTGCTCACTATACGATTATTTGAATTTCACTGTCTTCCTAGATTCGTCCACCTATGGAAGTGGTTGACTGCGGGGATCGCAAGTCAGTTCGACTTTCCCGAGCTCCGAAGAAGTAGAAACCACCGTAATACCAGCCAGTAATGCATTATTTTGTCCAGGCTCATCAAGAAAAACCGGTGAGGGGAATAATCGATGAGTGGTCAAAGGCAATGTTGTAATCGAGAATCCTGCCCTACTCTTTGAAAGCGACGGTAGAAGTTCAAGTCAGACGTCTTTTAGAGTTAGAAACAAATCGATCTCTGCGTACTGTATTAACCAATGCTTGGAAGCTGATTGTAGAGAAGACAACTAGGTGATCAGAGGAATGTTGAAAGGGAAAGGACGGGCTCATTCTCATAAGATAGACGACAAGAAAACGCAATTATAGTTGGAATATTTTTATTTTTCGAGGATGTAGTTTTATACAGAATGTCAGAACGCATTGGCGTTTTTCTTCTTAACAAGACCTTTATAAAAATCACTTTGTTGATGAACTATCTTTTTCATGACGATAAAATGTTCACATTGACTAAACTTTTACGATATAATTGCCAAGAAACTACCGCTTCAAAGATCAAACAGCGGACTAAGTACTTTCAAAATCAAAGCGTATGTTCTCATCGCTATATGCATTGCGTAAGGAAGGTTTTCAAAAACCAAGCTTAATTGCTGAAGGTCTCCATTTCTGCAGCTGTCGAATGACTACTAGTATTCTGTCACAGAGTAGGAAGTGCTAATTGCCGGCTGCAAGAAAGAAGTTCTACGCATTAAGTTTAAATAACTGATCGGTGGCAACGTATGAATAGAGGCAATTGCGGTTGACCTATGTTGACTGTACAAGATGAGCTGCTAAATGCTATTTATTCTATCAGCTGACGGTTTAGTGGTATCCTCTTTTTCAAACCTCGAAAAGATCAGTTGAAAGCACCAACTGATCGAATTCACTGTGCTATAATAACCTTGGCCATAACCATTTGGCTTAGAAAGAATAATTGTTGGCTGTTGAAGAATGCCAAGATAAATAGAATTGGTCTTGAGGATTACTGTAGGCTGTCAATTATTGAACAATTTTTCGAGCGTAGTACTCATGGGTCTTGGTCAGAGCAATGCCATCGTTTTTTGAGAGGGACTCCTCACTTGATGAATGGGAGTACTGCCAAGACGTACTCCGGCTGCATACTAGAAAACTCTCGCTGAGATTTTCTAAACGTTGTTTTTCTAAGCGTTGTACACTAGATAAAATGTGTTTCTCGAATAGTAGTTTTGCGATATTTATATAACTTAGAGAATTGAGTGGTGAGTCAAAAACACGGCCTCAGGCGAAATTGAACTCGCGTTTCATCCTATCCGTGGGACGCGTGCTCTCTACCACTACACCACCGAGGCACGTTTGCCCAACCACTCATTCTTCAACCCCATCTCTATGTTAGCCATCAGCCACCAACCTTTAGCAGGTTTGGTCAGGATATGCGATTTCGCTTTATAAAAGCCATTGAGCTAACAGCCTATTGTTTATATAATAGCTTCGAAATCATACTATTTCTACTGCTTATTTCGCAGTGTCATGATGTTACTTTATATAACTCGAGCAAATGTGCCTCGAGTGGCGTAGTGGTTAGAAGCACGCGTCCCCGGACAGGATGAAACGCGGGTTCGTTTCCCGACTGAGGCCGTGTTTTTGCTACCACTCATTCTCTAAGTCTCTATAAGTCATGTCATAACACTGAGAAATAAGCAGTAGAATATTTTGATTTCGAAGTTTTGGCAACATTTCGAAAGTAAACGAAAATTTGGAGATGCTTAGGGTTTTGAGGACGTAGCTTGCATCTTTGAAACTGGCGACAACTGGGCTGTCATTTTTCCAAAAAAAAAATTGTTATGGAAAGTCTCTTCAATGCCATTCTATCGTTCTGACGCGACTAAAGTTTACTTAGAATCAAACTTTGTCTACGGAAAACGAGAAAGCTCGCTACCGATGTTTGAAACAACGCACTATTAGAAGAAAGCGTATTATTCTTCTC